CAGTACTAATGACTCTAGAGTGGACAAACTTAGTTTAGTAGTGGGAGATTGTTCCTCAAAAGAACCTTGACTGAGAGCAGATAAAAAGAAACAGATCTGTCACCTCTGAGAATCATAGAATATGACCATTCCATGGTCACTGCAGCCAAGGCTGCCCTTGAGCTTCACATTCCCCACCAGCTCCTCCTTGTTGGTGACAACAAGGTCCAGCATAGCACCTCTCCTCATTGGTTCCTCTGTCACTTGGAGAAGGAAGTTGTCATCACTGCATTCCAGGAACCTCCTGGATTGCTTCTGCCCTGCTGTGTTGTCCCTCCAACAGATCTCAGGGTGGTTGTAGTCCTCCATGAGGACCAGGGCTCATGAACGTGAGGCTGCTACTATCTGTCTAAAGAGGGCCTTGTCTGCTCCATATTCCTGGTCAGGTGGCCTGTAGCAGACCCCTACTACTATGTCCCATTCCCTGCTTCCCTTCAATCCTGACCCATGAGCTCTTGGTTGTCTCCTCATCCATCCCCAGGTGGAGCTCCAGGCACTCCAGCTGGTCTTTGACATAGAGGGTGACACTTTCTCCACATCTCCCCTGCCTGTCCTTCCTAGAGAGCCTGTATCCTTCCATTCTGACATTCCAGTCATAGGATTCATCCCACCACCTGTCTGTGATGCCAACAAGATCATAACCCTGAGGCGCACACATCTCTAACTCTTGTTTATTCCCCATGCTACGTGCGTTTGCGTAGAGACACTGAAGCTGGGCCCCCGATGAAGTACGCTTGGGCGTCCCTGAACGCAGCTTCGTTTAGGCAGCACCGTACAGTTCTATTGTGGAAATGTTTTCTTGGCAAAGATTCAAACTGTCAAGGTACCAATGTTTTTTTTCCGCTTTTGGCCTTTGTTTTACAGTTGTGGTTCAAGCCATATGCTGTAGTGTATCTCATACGTATGGATACTGAAAAAGCTGCACATTACTCTAAGGTGTGTCTTATCTAATTGCACTGGGTTTTTTAATAGTTCAAAATGTTTCTTTCTGTAGATGGACCTAATAATTTTATCAGAAAATGGCTTTGCCTCTTCGACAGATATTTTAAACTTGGCTGACCAACTTAAGACAAAGAAAATGAAGAAAAAGGAAGCAGAACAAGTGCTGAAAGTTTTTGTGGAGGATAAATGGCTCTCTGAGGTAACTGCCGTATCTTTTCAAGTGTTCATATTTTCATAGGTCCAGCTATTAGTTTCTTATGGATGCAACGGCTGGAACTGGAGCTGTTCTTTAATGAATGATGGCAAAAGTGTTTTTTTGAAGCCTGTGCTTATTGCTGCTCCAGTGAATTTTGCAGGAAAGGTAGTGTATTTACAAGGAAAAACTCCTTGGGTAGGTCTCTACAGGACATGATTTCACTTTCTTGTACCTGAGCTAGGTGTGTGTGTGTGTACAGCCCTGCACTGCCACACACAGACATCCTTTGTACACCACAGCATGACACACTTGAACTTGGAGCAAGAGCTGGGGAAAGCTCTTCTAAATCAGTGATTTAGAATATATATCCTGACAAGCAGCAAGGCTGAATTGTGTTGAAAACTCCTGTACCAGAAACGCGTGGGCCGCTGCATGTTTTGAAATCTCCTTTACGTCATGAGAGGAGAAGTTGAGATTAGCTTACCATGTGGACACTGCAGTTGCTTGCGAAGACAAGTAAGACCTCAATCCCTTTTCTCCTGGATTCATTGCATCATAGATCTCCAAGCTGCTGCCACACATTCACTTATGTTAGAGTGATTTAGCAGAGACTTTCGAAGATACCTCAGCAGTAAATGCCTAGATTTTGGGGAAAGCCAGTAGAATTGCCACTAATGTGCAAATGGAGGGTCCCAAAACTGCATGTCTTTGTTAAGCAGAGCACACTTCCTCATCTGTACCTTCCAAGGACGAGACCTCTGTTAAAGGTGTGAGATCTTTTTTCTGATCGACTAAACAAATTAATTCTGCTACTTCAAAAGTATTTCAGCTTCATATTGTATCAGTGTCAGCATGTTGGTTTCACAATGTCAGAAAAAAGTGGATGTCAAATGCTTGCTAGCAGGTGGTTAGGAAAGAAAAAAAGGTAAAAGGAATTAAAATTGCTCGTCTTGCCACTTGTTTCCTTAGAGAAATGGAGAATACACTCTGCATACTCGCTGCATAATTGAGATGGAACAATACATTCTCAGCAACTACCAAGATGCAGCAAGGAAGTGTAACATCTGTCACAGCCTTGCCATCCAGGTAACATTTGTTTTATTACCTCAGTAGGCATCTGCTGGTACTTAAGTGGTTGCAGCTGAAGTTTGTGATACTTCGAGTATTAGGCAGGCACTGAAAAATTCTGGTCTTGTAGTGTGGTAATGGTGCCCTTGTATATAAAGAAAATCCCTTCTTTTTTTTAGTGTAGGTATTTTATCTTCTGTCCTTGGAAAAAAAAACTTGGAGCAGTATCTCCAAGTTTATATTTGGAGAAAGCAAACTCACCCAACGAGGAATTAACGTTATCGTACTATCTTGCTTTCCAAAGCCAGCAGGTTAGAGATGAACCTTATCCTTAAATAGGTGTAACAGTCCAGTGTTTGCCATCTTATCTTTGGACCTAACAAATAGCAGTCTTCATCTGACACACATTCGTCTTTGGTCCTGGGATTTTGTCAGGAATTGCTTGTGTCTTGAACTTCAGAATGAACACATATGTTTATATATCGCACGCTAAAGCACTATATTTTGATATCCGTTAAGTTACCAGTTTAGTCTAAGTGGTTACAACCCGAACTCCTGTTCCAAAACTACTGCCTTCTCTTGCTCCTTGACCCTGCATCTTCTCATCTTCCCAACTAACATGCTTGTATGTTACTTTTTTCATCCCAGTTGGTCCCCTTTATTGTACCCAGATAGCTCAGTGTTCTTTGTCTTTCAAGCTAAACTTTGTCCATATAGGGAAATTATATTTCCTAGTTTCCAGGAAAAACCTTTTATCATTTACCAGCTTTGACTTTTGAGTATCCACCAACTGTACTGTATGAACCATTCTCTGGAATAAAGCATTGCGTATCTGCCACCCTTTATAGCACCTTTATGTTAAACTGAAAGATAGGTTTGAAGGATTTATTTTTTTTTTTATTAATACTTCTGATTTCAGAGCCAAGTGTGTGAATCCTGTGGAATTGGAATGCATTTACCTTGTGTCAGAAAGTACTTTCGAGCTCAGATCGAACCACGCTGTCCACAGTGTAATGATTTCTGGTCTTGTGACATTCCAGGTACCAAGCAACCTATTTAAAAAAAATTGAGCATAATAATACTAGAGAATGGGCTGTGATATTCAGTGGAACTGCCTGTATTATTTACAACTGTAGCTGAATATCAGTTATTCCTGACTTCAGTTGTATGTTTCAGGCAGTAAACCATCCACGGGCAACACTGGGCCCTGGATGCGCACGGATTGTGCCTTATGGTCACCAGCAGATCCTGGGCATGTTTCTAACAACATTGAAGTGTGGCGGTGGGAGGAGTAGGGGACAGACACAAAACATGACACTAAAACTTCTGGAAATACTGAGCTTCTAAGAGGAGCACAATCTCTTCAAAATTCCTCTATTTAGCCAGGGAAATTCAACGTTCTGAACAGGAATACATAAAGCATTTTAAAAATCTGGAGGTTATACAGTATCATCCTTTTTTTGCATGTCTTCATTAACCTTCCCTTTGTTTCCTTCACAGGTATGAATCGGATAGACTTGCAGTCACCATCGAAAACAGGGAGAGCAGAAAAGAGCTTCATTCTCAGCACTAGACGATGCTAGTAAAACTTGCTCTCAGTGAAATAATTTTTCCCCACCCTTGCAGAATGCAAGACTGTATTGTATTCGTTAGTTTCAGTGTACTACTTTTCTCCTGAAGTTTTAAGAATCTTATAATAAAAATATCATTGACCTTCATGTCCTCCTTCGCGGTTACACCTGCACAGCTCGCTTAGAGGCTGTTTTGTTTATGTGGTTCTCCATACTCTTGGGTTGGGACTCTGAGTGCATGTTTGGGAATTAAAGATGCAAATGTTTGTAGTCAGTCTTGCAAGCTGATGTGTGCAGGTCAACTATTAAAAGAAGCCCTTCTCAGCAACGGCATTCCCTGTTTTTACAGGTCCAGTTGCACAACTGAAAACTAAACCTGTTACTACCACCACAGGGCTTCAGGTGGGTGGAATATCAGCACAGCATTTGTGGTTTTCTCACTAAGGCAGCTGGCTGAACATCTGATCTGGAGTTTGAATGCTTTCAGTTGGCAGCGCTGCTTGGGTTTTGTCCCTCCTTTAGACGCAGAGGAGTTCATCTGACATAAGGCCAAGTCACAAGCAGCTGTGCTAAGAGAGGGAATACTCCCACAGTCAGAATGATTGGGAAGGAGTAGGACAAGACTTTTGGGACAACACCAGCTTATGTCTGCAAAGCATTGAAAAAAATTATCATCTTAAGATTCTTCTAATTTTTAGTATTAGCACTTCACTCTTCAGTTTTATGTAAGGATGCTTTTTTCTTCAAGAGTGACTTGGAAAAAAAGACAAGGAGTAGATAGTGCCAGGTACCAGAATGGCATGGTGGCATACCTTTTCCGTGGTGGAAACGTGTGACGGACTGCAGAAGGCAGAGTGTCAGCAGTTCAGCTGATGATAATCAAAGTATGATTAAGCTTCAGTTTTGTCCTAGTTTTAGCTGGGACAGAGTTTGTTTTTTTAACAGCTAGAAAAGCTCCATGTTTTGGTTTTACTCAGAGGCTGTGTGTGTGTGTGGGGCGGTTCAACCTAACCCACGACAAGTTTATTTAACTGCAATTAAACTATGGAGTAACTACAAGTAATTATGTTCCTAGGCCTTAACACGAGTAACTTTTTCCATATAGGAAGCTGGTATCTTGCTTCATATTAGCTTTTTTTTTCTTTTTAAATGTATTGAACCTTTGGGTAGCACCATCCCTCATTGTTCATGTAACTCCAGTTTTTACTGTTATTAAATCCACGTAGAAGGCAACACTAACTTGATGTTCCAAGCACAGTTCGAAGCAGAGTCCTAGCAGCGCCTGTATGTAGAGCTGTTTGAGATGTACACATGCATAAAAGATGATGACCTAAAGATGCTCTTGATGAGGAGTTCATATTAGAAACATCCACAAAAATAAAGTGGCTGTAGCATCTTCATTCCGTTTACCCATCCAGATTCTTCCACCATGCTGATGCAAGAGTTTGTTGGTTTTAATTCACCTCTAACCACTGAATAGGGAAGAACATCTCATGCTTAAAAATAACGCTCTTGTGAGAAGATGCCAGATGCTACTTTTTCCAATTTTTAATTGCTATTACAAGGCTAACAGACTTCATGCATGCTTCAGAGCTACGACCACCAGAAACTGACAGAGAAGCTGATATCAAGTGATCGCACATAGTGCCAATATTTAACTGGAATAAACAGAACCTGTCCGGGCATCAGAATACAGGACTGAAACGCAGCCTTTCTGAAATTGGGAAACTTAACTAAGTCAGGATCTTCCACATCAACCTATAAAAAAAACATAAAAGACCCAAAACAATCATCAGTAGAATGTCCTTACTCAAACACGGCTTGATAGAGTAACATTACTGATATTAAAATTTTGGGCAACTATTTACCTGACTAGTGTTGTGAAGAATTTGGCTTTCATGTGGGTACAGGTTTTCTGAATCCTGCGGTGAATATAGACGGATATACTTTCTCCCGAATACCTGTATACATCACAATAAATGTTTTCCATCTGTCATTAACCTGCACGTTACTGGCAACTGTAGGCCCTAGCTGGCATTTAACAGTAAAATACACCTGATGACAAGAAACATCATTGTCTTTGTAAGTAATAAACAGACACTGCTATAATAAAAAGTTAAAACAAAGCAGACTATTGGAATTGAAGTACCTGTTCCCTTGGAGCAGATAAGAATTTGAAATACCAAGAAATGCCTTTAACCAAATTAGTTTAAATTCAAAGTTTAAGGCACCCCATTTATACAACGTTATTTGAGCTTTACGTAGCGAGAAAGTAATCAGAAGAACTAAGAATAAGGATGTTGTGTCTTCAGCGCAGTTCACATCAGAGGTACCCACGGCGTGACTGTTCAGCTTTCATATATTCCTTCAGCTTATTTCTGTGCCATCATTAAATCAGTCCTGTCATTGGAGTGCGGAATTGGAAGACTAGAGTTCATCGGGCAAACGGGCCGGCTGACCTGAGCGCTACAGCGAATTGCAAGTCGTCAGAGCCTGGAGGGAAGTGGCAGAAGAAACGAGCCAAAGCTGATTCCTGCACCGGTACCAGTGGAACACCCACAGAAGGTACACAGTGAATATGCATGCTGCTTGTGCCAGAATTCAAGGTTTCTTCAAGGGCCAGGCATGATCATATTTGTTTGGAACTATCACATTAAGGGGTAAGTCCGTGCTCTGACTGACCACAGTACTCTGGACTGGCATTATGCTACCAAACGATTCCTGATCAAGCTGCTTTTCCTCTATTCTCCACATGATATACCAGGGTGTGCTGAAGTCTTGTCAATACCCAAGTCGTGATGCGAGATGTTTAGAGTTCACTGCTTCAAGGACAGCACATAAATGTAGTTTTAAGGGCTGGACAAGTATCCATGTGTTCCTGGCCTGTGCTACTCTTCACTATCACTGGTCAAACTGCTAGAGCATTGATCTGAGTAACCATGGCTGTCCATGTGTTTTTAGGATACCCTTCAAATCCCAAGAGATTATGGATATTAATTAGCTCTCTAAAGAACCAAGTGTTATTTTCAGCGAGTTATGGACGGAAGGAAAATGCTTGTTATTGCTCTGACAGCACATCTTCTGAATCCTTGAATTGTTTTGGGGGGGTGGGTGTTACCTGGACTGCTGTGAGCTATTAGTGGGTCCTTCCTTCGCTGGGTTAGGGCCTTGTATACTGCAAGGCTGAAGGCACAAGTGAATGGTCCACAGCCTGCGTCTCCAGATACTGGCTTCCTCCTTAATGGAAATACTAACATCTCCGCAGCAGCTACCACTCAGCCAGTAGGGATCATTCCACCTCATTACTTGTACTTGTGCCTTCCTGTACTCCACAGCCACAGTTTAAATGGCATCAAGAGGCAGGGCAGTTTTAACTGAAAAAATGAAAACTGTCCCATCACTTGCTGTCCAAATTACAAAGACTCTTTTACAGCACTGGGAGATACTCTCCCATTCTTCAGGCACAAGAACACAACTTCTGAAGTTTATAAGGGAAGTATCTTTTCTCAGTCCAACAACTCCTATAATGGACTTCCACCCAAAAAAATTCACAGGAAGCTTTACCTAGTATGTATAGTAGGGCACTTCACTTTCAGAATGCAGGTGCATGTGTGCGTGTCTCAGGTGGGTTAGTGGGGAAGAGAAATACAGCATGTACATAATTGCACAGCAGTTATAAAAACCCACTTTAGGAAGGCCTCAATTAAGCCTCAGTTCCAAGTGAAAACACAGGTTATCAAGATGCAGCTGTTTGGGACAGAGGAACTAAGGCTCAACCCATAAATAAACACAAGTAGAAAGCATTCAATGTCATGATCCTGCTGGAAAAGGAAAGTGTAAGCCGTATTTTTTTTTCAAAGAGACTGATGGTATGGAGGAAGAAATGGCAATCTTCCAGCAAGCAAGAAACCCTTCAGTGTTTGAAGACGTACAGTTGTCAACTGCTTGGACCAGGAATGTGTCTTTGGACTTTAGTACAGTGCTCACCACGAAGGGGCCCAGCATTTTACTGTGTTACTCTGCACTAAAAGTCATCACCAAGAAGCCTACCGACAGTAACTCACTTAACAGCAGTGAGGTCACGGTGCAAATATTACTTCATCTGACTCTCACGCACAAGTAGGTATTTTACTGGCTAACCTGAAGTGGATTAAAGTATGCCCCTAAGTCTACCCCAAAATCTTGCTGTTCCAAAAAAAAGAAGTTTCTTGGTACACTATGACAGGATTCAGGTTCTTCCCAACTGTTACAAATTCCTTCCTGTGGTACCTTGGAAAAGCTGCTTCTTGTGATTTCCATTTACCATCTGTAAAATGAGGGTAAGTAATGGTCTACCACTGTGAGGAGCACTTGTGGCCTAGAAGTAGCATAGTGGTAACAAACGCAATAGAAGAGCAAAATAGTATCTGCATATTCTCTATCGTTCAGTTGTTCATCAAGTTGTCTGCTACCTTTGTCTCTTACACACCATAGGCATTTCTTCTAGCTATACCATTAATGGCATGTGTAGAGTCAGTAGAGTACAGACCTGGGCTAAAAAATTTTGCTGGGGATCCTGATGAAGAGGTGAGATAGTGCCCTCTGGACCAAACCAAGCATTAATGGTGATGTCATCTTCTTCCCCTTCCCCTAGGCAGCAGTAGTCCGGGATACTGATATCTTCTTTCAATTCTGGGATCTACTCCCATAAAGAAATAAACATTAGAAAGGGTACGTGCTGACTTGCCAAAGGTATGTAATTCATAGAACAGAGGAACAAGGCTTGACACAAAGAAAGCAAATAACCTGCTTGTCCAGCAAAGGCAGGAGAGAAGTAGCTGAACTGTTAGGAACCTGCAGGAAATGTCCTCACACTTTCTGTCCTAGCAAGCAGATTCTGTTGGAAGGAGAGGTGGGAGAAACAAAGGGGTTTCTCATTCTTCCCTTTGCTTTAGCAGAAACCGGAGAAACCCGCAAGAACAAGCAGGTTTGCTGTTCATGGAAAAGGAGTGGCTGATCTTTT